GTACTTTTAAAATATCAATCACCAGATTCTGCTGACAGGTACAAGAAGCCTGGAAACTGCCAGAGTTTTTCTCCTTTTGTTTTAAGGGTGTTTCGCAAAGATCCAGAAAACCTGCCTCCATACATCTTCAAAATATATTCAGTCTGCCTGTATATAACATAAATAATATTTCTCTAATATTGAAAAAGAATATGGAATATCAAAGTCTGGTGATAATGATAATATATTCGATTTAGAAAAAAATACAACAATAATCGAACCAATTTAATTTAATTTGAAGCATATTTCCTGAAAGTTTTAACTCGTGTTCAGTTGTTAATTTTTTTTTTTATATTTGTGATTTCTTTTTTTAAATATGAAGTGAAAGAGGTGGGTGAACATCATTACGCATGTCAGAAGGTTGTATATCCACCCGCGATATCAAATCGATATCAAATAAACTGAACCCAGTAAAAATATCATCATACTTATTATAAAACCCAGGTTGTGTGTGTGTGTGTGTGTGTGTGTGTGTGTGTGTGTGTACGTTTATATATTGGATCGGATTTCCTACATTTTTCAACCGATTTCAACAAAACTTCACAGGACTACGTAAAATTACCTTGCGGTGGTTCTGACAGCACCAAAATTGAAAAAAACTATTGTTTTGCACGAAATCAATTTGAAATCACGATTAAGAGGCATCTTGAGAATGAAAGGGGACAACTCATATCGAGTTATACTTATTATAAAACCCACGTTGTTTTTTTGTGTGTGTGTGTGTGTGTGTGTGTGTGTGTGTTGTGTTCGTTTATATATGGGATCGGATTTCCTACATTTTTCAACCGATTTCAACAAAATTTCACTTTTTTTTGGCAGGTAGTGTTTCTTATTGTCTTGCACACTTTTTTCTTTATTTTTACATTCAGAATGCTTGAATAATTCCATTTACAAGACAATTGTTTATAATAAAATTCTATTCAATCTGTAGACTCATAACGATTGAAAACAATCTTTTTGTTTGAGTTTAGGTTTGACCAATTCGTAAAAAAAAAAAAAAAAAAAATAATTAAGACATGCGTGTCCGTCAACCTTAAACAATAATCTTTGTCAATTTTATTTTTCAGTCTTTATGATGGTCGATACTTGATCTATCTCTTACTGTTACATCCCCGGGCAACGCCGGGCTCTACTGCTAGTTTATAATAAGTAGAAATACAAATTTAAAAAAAAAATAATCCATTTATAAATCGTAATGAATTACGTAACACTTACTTCGGTTAACCGCATTACTTTGAACGATTACTTCGATATTTATGTCTATGTAAAAACAGTTTCAGCAATAATATAAGTGACAGATACTTATAAAAAGGCACTGTTGATTATTTATGGCTATTTAAAAAAACTAGAATGTTTTTGCTGACGCGTGTTGAAAGCCTCACAGAATTTAGTATTGTTGAACTTATCGCTAACATTTTTGTCGAGATTTACAAACTACGTTTCATTCAATTTCACAAACCAATCGATGAAATGTAATAATAAATAAGCTGATTTGTTTGTGAAATACTTTGACAAAAACCCTATTTCGCGGTTTAATAATTTCTTTCGTTTAATTTTATAAGATTTCATAGTACACAATATTTTTTTAAAAAAATTTCTTTTTTTTTCTTTTTCCTTCTTATGATTTCTTACTCTTGAGTACGCAATATACAACTGGCCTTGTGTAAATATCTCTTTTTCTGGAGAAAAATTCCACCTTTTTGAAACATTTGGCCATGTGATTTGTTTATAGTTTTTGCAAACACAGAAATGGAAATAGAATTCTTGTATATATAAAAACATAAAGAAAAGCTATACAAAAAACAATATTGCATTTTTATTAAATAAATTTTTGTTATTTCAGCCATTTTTCTTAAATAGTGGGAGTATTTTGTATATTAAATAATAAAACTTAATTTTTCCACAAAAATGAATGGACATTTAGTGTACTAACCCTCGCGCCCTAGTAATATCAATTGTATTTTGTACCCAATTATCTGTTTGCACTACTCCTTAAAATTTGGTTACGATCGGTCAATGTATGGCTATTTTAGAGGGGGTGACGGACTAACAGAAGTCACAGAAGTGTATATATATAGATAACGCAGTGTCTATTGTTAAATGATGCAGAAAAATAAGTAACTAAGTGATCATTTTAAGTTCTCTGAATACGGTGTTGTTGTTTACGTTTAGGGTAGGAAAATAAAGCTGGCAGATCTAGATTCATAGAAGTCCCAGCGAGAGAAGTACGTTTCTTAAATGGACAAATTTAACTTAATTATTTAATTTATGTGTAGCCGTTTCATGTTTAAACGCAAAAGTCAGGGCTGGACGGTTACGTTTTAAGTATGAAGCAGACTATCGAATTTTGATCTCAATGTCCACTTTATATATATATATATATATATATATATATATATATATATATATATATATATATATATATATAATTTGGAGAAATTTAGCATTCATTTGAGTGATTAATTCTATTAACGGTCTATCCTAACTTTTGATATCGAGCACTTTATAACAAAAAGCCCACCCGAAAAAAAAGAAACACCAATTTTGTTACTTGTTGATTATAGTTGTGAAGGCTTTGTTGAGATCCACCCACACTTTTTGAAGGGCTTAATACAGAGATCTGGTGCAGTACGTGTCACAAGGTCCCCAAACGACCCTCCGCAGGTTTTGAATTCAGAGTTTTCCTTCTCCTAGATCAGTTGCCATCCAAGGCTATAGAACCCAGTCTGTCCTGCTATTTACCCATAGCTGGTGGGAGAAGAGGAGGATCAATACCTTTTCCAAGGGTATTAGAACGTAAGTGAATTTAATGGATACGATTGGAATTCGAACTCGGCTCTCGGAACCCTCAGTTCGAGCTCTCTACTCCCTGCTCTCTCTCCCCCTCTCTCTCTCTCTCTACATATATATATATATATATATATATATATATGTATCCGCAAGTTTTATGATGGTACTATTGTTCCAGTTCTAGATAATGGTTTATTGTAGAAAAATTATTTCAAACGCTATTGCTCAGCTTATTTCGTATAGAATGCTCATGTTTTGCTTAAAATCACTTTTCTATGAACTATGAACACCAATGTCACCAGCCGAATCTCCTTTCATCATCGGTACACTGGCCTCGAGAGGGATAACGAAAGCTTTGTTTTCTCTCACAGCTTTGTTTGGGTTGGGTACGACCTATATAAAATGTTGTATCCCCATTTTTTTCACATTTGCGCTCATGAAAACGCAAATGATAATTTAACAAAAGCTGTAGATATTTACTTAACACATTCAAAATGATGGCGTACTCAGGGTTTGGTTTGGTTTGTTTTACGGCATATCAACCTCAATGGGTTATTTAATGCCGACAATTTTTATTGCTGGTGTTATTTTTTTCAAAAATGTCTTCTTTCCTTCAAATAATCTATTTCTGGTAATAATTTTTTCTTCAAAAATTTATTGCTGATAATATTTTTTTACCAAGTATTTCTGGTATTAAAACCTATTTTTACATAGTGTTTCAACCCCAGTTTGTGGGTCAACTATTTGCCCATAGCTGGGACACTAACAGGTGCTACCACCCCACGTCAGGGTGGATCTGGGAACACCAGCAATTAAGAGGTGGTTCCACGCTCCTCAAAGCCCCTTGATCAGAGGCCTTGATGTTGGACGTAGTTTATCGTCTTACCGACGACGCGGATGTAGTTTATCCTCGTACCCAGGACGGGGCCTACTCAGGGATAGCGGAAATCACTAGTAACGGCTTGCTAGATAACCTGGTCAGTTATCATTCTATGGTAAGTGCCTGTTTGGGGTGCTCAAGTGAGGATTTTAAATGAGGTCGATAATCCATCTTCCACTTACTGACGATTATTAAGGCTCCAATGACACAAACATAATCCGTCATCTAACCAAAATAGGAGGGTAAATTAGGCGAGGTGCAGAGAAGTTTTAATATGAAGGCTTTTAAGGCTGGGTGGGAAGAGAGAAGAGATTGGAGGCAGCAGGAGGAAAAGGAGAGAAGACAGAAGTGAGAACAGCAAGGCGATGAACCGGAGGGGGGGGTTCATACGTTAGACCGTCACTCAATAAATCCAACAACATTAATGTCTGTAAGAAGATGGCATACGTGAAGAAATGACCATAAATCTATCACTTGTATTTCTACCTTTTTACATTTTCAGTTTAAAGTCTGGATACCTATATCGTTTTGATCTATCTATCTATCGCCGCTGAGACTTGATCTCAATGTCCAGTTTAATACATTCTTACAATACATATACATACATACATATATATATATATATATATATATATATATATATATATATATATATATATATATATATATATATATATATATTTATTAAAGACATTTTTATGTTTAACGTTGTTATTTTATAGATACAAGTATTTAAGCAAATGCTCTGTTTATGATAAACAGTATTAAATAACATTTACCGGCCTGAATGTCCGAGAAATTTTCATAGAAAATATCCTGTCAAAGAACGAATATTTTCTATGAAAATTTCTCGGACATTCAGGCCGGTAAATGTTATTTAATACTGTTTATCATAAACAGAGCATTTGCTTAAATACTTGTATCTATAAAATAACAACGTTAAATATATATATATATATATATATATATATATATATATATATATATTAATTTGGAGAAGTTTATCAGTTAGCTGATTGATTAATTCTATTAACGCTGTATCCTAACATTTGATATCGAGCACTTTATAAGAAAAACCGGAAAAAGAAACAGCAATTCTGTTGCCTAATGCTTGCACTCTCTCTCTCTCTCTCCTATATATATATATATATATATATATATATATATATATATATATATATATATATATATATATATATATATATATAGTGGACTCTTCCGTCGTATTCGATGTATGAAGGTCAAACAACTCAGTTCCTAGGAATATCTATAGATAAACATATATTCCTAGGAATTTCTATTCCTATCTATCTATCTATCTATCTATCTATCTATCTATCTATCTATCTATCTATCTGTTCATATATATCTGTCTCTCTATCGAAATCTATCTATCTATCTATATGTTCATAAATATCTGTCTCTCTATCGAAATCTATCTATCTATCTATCTATCTATCTATCTATCTATCTATCTGTTCATATATATATGTCTCTCTATCGATATCTATCTATCTATCTATCTATCTATCTATCTATCTATCTATCTATCTCAGTCTTTCATCTCTATCCTAGTCTGCCTATGGATGACGATATATATATTTTGGCAGCAAACTTTCTTTCAAACATCGTTTACTGAATACGGCTGACAAGGGAGATTTAATTTTTTATTAAGTTTTTTCAAAAATAATCTTTTATTAAGTTTTTTTGCGAGTATTATGGAATATAAAAATTGTCCATAATTTTTATTGTCGCATGTACTTGCCGGCCATTTTCAAGGGTGTTGTTATTCCTTCCTCATGTTTTGAATGTGAATTTTGTTTGTGTTGTTTTTAAAAAGGAGCGTTCATTTCAAGCTCTCACAGGCCACGCGCGGCTGGAATTTGCGTGAACATCTTTCTATTTTTTTATTTTTAAAAAACTTTCAATATTGTAAGATTGATGGTAGTAGAGAAATGTTTTATATATTGTGCTTCTCGAATAGCGAGATGTTTCTTATAATGAGATTTATATAGAATTCTTGTGTTTTCGACCAGAATTTTACTTAAGGGTTCTTGTAAGTAATTATTGGATTAATAAATGTTTTATAGCACTATGGTCAGATAAGCGACACGTAAGACGTCTAATCAAGTAGGTAGTAGTTTGCGTGATATAGGTATTTGATGTGTGACAAGAAACAGTCTTGTACTAGTATTGAAACTGATACACTATATTGGTCATCGCTAGTTTAGGTTTAATGAAATTATTTTGATTATGGACCACAAGATTTGCGGTCTTCCATTTTTTGTAATATATTATAAATTTTACATTATTTCGTTATTTTCGGCAGAAATATGGTGTTTGATAATTCTTCGTGTAGCGAATTCGTCCTGTTTATAATTCTTTTGTAACTGGTTACTGTGTTGATGTTTTATTTGTGTGGTATTTTTATTATAGGTGTCGTGTATTTTGTGTATGAATAATTTTATTTGTTTATCAATGATGTAGTTAGGAAAATTATTGTTGATTAGTGTTTGTTTTATGTGTTTTAGTTCGCTCAGAAATATTCTTTGGGAAGAGGAATTTTGGTGTTCTCTATTTAAAAAAAGTTTGTTATCACTGGTATTTTATATCTTTCCGGGCATTGGCTATCATAGTTTCGGAATTCGTACTGGTGTTGGTTTTTTTTTTATATACGCGTAAATGCTAAATACTTTGGATTTTAGTTCTATATCAACACCAAGGAATGGGATTTTGTTATTAACCACGAGTTCATATGTAAATTTTAGCGTTTAGTTTTTTCAAAAGTTGATTTTAGATTTATAATTTCATCCCTATTTCTTATCAAAGCAAAAATGTCATAAACGTACCTTGTGTAGATTTTGGGTTTACACTTTGTTTTCAATATAAGACGTAAAAGTTAGAGGAAGCAGGACCTAAAGAGTTTCCCATACTGACAACATTAGTTTGAATGTAAGTGTTGTCATTATGATCATAAAATGGATCACACACACACACACACACACACATATATATATATATATATATATATATATATATATATATATATATATATATATATATATATATGTGTGTGTGTGTGTGTGTGTGTATTAGTCTGATCTACGGATCCTCGGAATTGAGTAACGCTTCCAGAGATTACTCTAATTGAGAATTACAACTGGACGCGGGGTGAGTTTAGTTCTCACTGGGAGCACCGTACAAAAAGCTACATAAAATAACTCAGATTACATGGAAAATCCAGCAATAAAGCACCAAGTTTCTCTATCTGTTTATCTATCTATATATCTATCTATCTAGTTCATATACACAAATTTAGTTCATATACCCTAATTGCATTTTCCTGCGTCTGAGATGTTTCGAGGTAAATAGTGTATTAATGTTTAAACTAGTGTGTGTGTATGTGTAAGAGAAAGAGAGAGAGAGAGAGAGAGAAGTGAGAGAGACATACACATACAAAGGTAAAGTTCACATGAACATGGTTAGATAAAATTTTGCCTAAGAATAAGCTAGAATCAATCAATATGGAAACTGACAATTTAACGGTCACACTGTCACGCTCATAGGAAAAGGAAACGAACTCTTCAGTCCCTACAAATCGTCTCCTTTCGTCTCAGTAATATGTTTTCATTTGAAATAAGAGTTTTGAAACTGAGGATAGATCTTTTAGTACCATTCACGAGATCAACTGGAGATGTCAAAATCAGACATTCATATTGTCACATGACCTATGGTTAATTGATTGCGGGATCTTCTTGACTATTGACGGCTTGTGGTTGGAATATGTGTGTATATAAAATGGGCTGTCGTAAGGTTTTCTATATAGTTGATATGTACATTTTCTTAGGTTGAATGTGGCATCTAGGAAATCGACTTCTTTTTGGTCAAATTTTATGTTAGATTTTATGTAAAATTTTTATGATTATTTTTACTCAATCGCCCATAGAATAATTTGAAACATAACCGTTACCATCCACCCAATAACCATTAGAATAATACAATATCAGTCAGTTAGGTGTCATACGTGATACTCGCTTAGGCGATCATGTATCTTTCGATACATGACTGACGAGACAGATTTTTTCCCACCGTAGGTTGCCATTTCTTTGCCGGTCTGTCCTGCTATTTACCCATAGCTGCGTGGGGTAGAAGAAGAGGATGTACTACTGATATAAACACAATGGATGAACAACAGCAACAACAATGATTAAAAGAAGAACAGATATGAGATTTCTACAAAGGGAAAGGTAAACAACTCTATGGATACACCAGATTTAACCGTACCTTCTATCCTAATGGTTTCTTTTCTCGCACTTTTCGCTTGTGGAACTCTCTTCTAGCTCATTATTCACACTATTGTCTTCATCTTTGTCGCCATATTTATCATAACGTTTCGGCCGTTGTACGCTCCGGCCTTCTTCATGTGGTTGGAATGTCGAACTGAACCCTTTATTTCGCTCGCTCGGGTAGACTGTTCTAGTTCCACGTGCCATGTTTGATGGATGTCAGTTATCAGTTATCTCCTGCTAATTTCCCTCTGAAAGTTCTCCATTGCCTTAACCGAGTATTGAACTCACACTCTTTGGGTCCTGTCACTGGATCTAACCAACGCCTTTATCCACTGTGCCATGTGTCCTTGAGTCCAAATAGTGTGAATAATGTGCATAATGCCTCATCTCAGAAATATAGACAGACTCTCTTTTAGCTCTATGCTTTCCAGGCAAATTTAATCTTCAAAAATTTAAATTCAATGTAAATTGCATTCAGACTCTTGATTAATTTTTGTTCTCGCTCCTTAGTAATCTTTCTGTTTTCTAATTCTTCCACTCCCAGGAACCTTGTGTCTTAGTGGCTTTACTGCCTTGCTTGGGGTGATCTCGATTAAAAAAGAAAAAGAATTTCAAAGAAATCGTAAGGGAAATCTAAGAAGCGAAACTGAGTAACTCGTAACAGCGGCCATAAGAACCCGGATGTAGACGAATACCGACATAGATGAAGGTCAGTCAGTTATGTGCCATACGTGATACACGCTTAAGCGATCATGTATCTTTCGATACATGACTGACGAGGCAGATTTTTTTCCCGCAGTAGGTTGCCATTTCTTTCTGTGGTAGATCCGTTGCCATCCAAGGCTACAGAACCCGGTCTGACCGGGGGGAGAAGAAGAGGATCAATACCTTACTCAAGTGTATATTAACACGTAATGTAATGGATTCGACTGGAATTCGAACTCGGCTTTCCGATTCCTCACAATATACCTACCCATAATGCACCATGCATAAATAGTCGAGCCAAAACAAAAACACATTTTCTGAAGATGGCGCTTAAACACAAAACAGTCTCTCACCGCTTGGTGTGGACTTCAGTGTCCACTTTTATATTTACATACGCTATATCCCTGATATTGAGCAGTTTATCCCATAAATATAACATACCTTAGAATAGTGATGGGAAAACTCCGGCCCGCGGAGCAGATGCGGGCCGTTTCGCCTTCCAAATAGCCCGCCTAATTTAATGATGTAAATAACGTTTAGTAAAATTTTGCGTTTTGTTTTATTCACATTTTTCTCTCATGGAAAGAGGTTGAAAGAAGCTGGTGTCAAAGAGAAAATATTAAATGCCCGAGTAACCGTCCTTATTAATGCCTGTTACTTTGTAGGCAGAGTTTGACTAAACCACACACATAATGATTAAGTCGGATTTCTCATGAATTTTAAATTTAATTGTTGAATATAACGTTTTCAGCATTTTAGACAATTGGCGATTCTCATTAAGGAAGATCATACGTGTAAAAATATTTACCTTTAGAAACGGGAAATCTTCAAATTACTTTTTTTCACTGCAGAATAAATACATTTTTTAATTAAAAAACTATTTTCAAATGAATCCATGTGTTAATTCCAGAGTCATCGGTGATAATATTATAAGAAATATTAAATTATTAAATTGTGGGAAAATATTTTTTCCAAGTAAAATATGTCATTTTCTCCGCCATTTCTAAGACAGGTTGGGACGCGTAGTAAAAATGGTCGCTTTAATTTCAGCGAAAAATTACTTTGATTTTATTTTATTAGTGCAGCCCGTTTTATGAAAGGCTATATCTCATGCGGCCCACTCGTCGGAAAATATTGTCCATGCCTGGCTAAGAACTATATATTTATCATATATATATATATATATATATTATTTAGTAGCAGTAGAGTCCGGCTTTGCCCGGGGATGTAACAGTAAGAGATAGATCAAGTATCGAGCATCATAAAGGCTGAAAAATAAAATTGACAAAGATTATTGTTTAAGGTTGACGGACACGCATGTCTTAATTAAATTTTTGTTTGTTTTTTTTTTTTACGAATTTGTCAAACCTAAACCCAAACAAAAAGATTGTTTTCAATCGTTATGAGTCTACCGATTGAATAAAATTTTATTATAAACAATTGTCTTGTAAATGGAATTTTTAAAGCATTCTGAATGTAAAAATAAAGAAAAAAGTGTGCAAGACAATAAGAAACACTACCTGCCAAAAAAAAGAGCGAAGTTTTATTGAAATCGGTTGAAAAATGTAGGAAATCCGATCCCATATATAAACGAACACACACACACACACACACACACACACACACACACACACACACACACACACAGACAGACAACGTGGGTTTTATAATAAGTATAACTCGATATGAGTTGTCCCCCTTTCATTCTCGCGATGCCTCTTAATCGTTGTTTTCAAATTGATTTCGTGCAAAAACAATTGTGTTTTTTCAGTTTTTGGCGCTGGCAGAACCACCGCAAGGTAATTTTACGCAGTCCTGTGAAGTTTTGTTTAAATCGGTTGAAAAATGTAGGAAATCCGATCCAATATATAAACGTACACACACAACCTGGGTTTTATAATAAGTATGATAATCATTGATATTATTAAATGATTTAATTATAATTTTATTTTAACACTGCATAGTTTTTTTTAATATTAATAATATTAACTTCAACAATTCGTTTAAATAATTAACAACAATAACAATTCACCCTAACAAGAAAATATCTCGTGATAACCAGAAATATTAAAAAAGAGGTGTTAACCCAAAATAATACATATCTGAAGATTGCATTACCATGAAACTCCGAGTTGTGCAGCCAATGCAGGGTATTATGATATATATATATATATATATATATATATATATATATATATATATATATATATATATATAATCGTAAAAGAGAGACAGACAGACAGGGAGAGAGGAATGAGCATATCTTTTGTGTATTATGGCTCTGTAAATTTAAATATCTGGGATGTCTTTTAACAGACGATAGAAACTGCGGTGTCGAAATCCGAACGCGCATTTGTTTCCCGAAATATGCAGGTCAAGAGGGGTAGGGTGAGACTGCGATCCGCCTACCTGACGAGCTCGTGTGGATTGACAGCAGAATAGGGGTCGGGAGTCTTTGTAAAGGGCGAAACACCGTATTGGGCCACAAGGGAAAGGTTGTTATGGAGAGCCATGATTACTCACAACATTGTTTCTCAGCTATACCTGTAACACTAGATGCAATCCTAGAAATAAATCCTAGAAGAAGCATTGGAAGTAAAATCTGAAAAATTTTATCGATCACCATGTCTCCCTGGCAGTAGTCATATCGCAGGGATCCGTCGTCCAGAATGATTTAATATTTGAAGACTTTTGGCACAGACCACAAAAAATTGACTCCAAAAGACGTACCATTAATGGGAATATTACATTCCGAAAAATATGACAATGTAATCTATCTATCTATCTATCGTCTGTTTTTGAATGCCCATCTATAAACCTATCCCAGTCAGTTCCTATTTATCGGTATCTATCTATCTATCTATCTATCTATCTATCTATGAGCTTAAAATATGGATAAAATCCGACAAAATTATTAAATAAGGAACAAGTAGAAAAACTCTAAGAATTTTGAATAATTCGCTATTTATTGAGCTTCATCAGAAATTTTGGTAATAGAATGATTTCAGGTTAGAGTTCAATTTTTAAAATTCTATTTGTTTTGTTTTCCCGTTATCTATCTATCTATCTATCTATGAGGTAAGTCCCTTCATATCTTTCTGTATATCTCTATCTATGTCCGAACTAAGCTGGTAATAGACATAAGATAAATTAGGTCACTTTTAAAACTAGTCTATAGTTCCTCTTGTAATCAATGCAAAATAAACACCCCCGCACACACGCACACAATATATATATATATATATATATATATATATATAATTATTTATTTAAAAATCTGATTCCATCGCTACATAAGAGTTCTCATGTTTCAAAACAAGAGCCGAAAACTCCAATATAATTATTTGAATTAAATTGAATTAAAGTACCAAGCTCTGTTCCATCTCCATGCGAAATTTTTTTTTGAATAACTAATTCCTGAAATTTTCGCGTTTTATAAGCATATTCATTATTAAAATTAAAATTACTATGGTAACTGGTAGAACAATTATTTAAAGAAAAGGGGCGTAAAGTTTGATAATTTGTATGAATATCTCAGTTACATTCAAAGAAGTCAAGTCAGGGTAAGGTTGGAGTGTCTAAATTTAAATTTAGTATATATATATATATATATGTTAAGAAATGGACAAGGTCCGACAATTTATTTATTAAAGACATTTTTATGTTTAACGTTGTTATTTTTTTTATAGATACAAGTATTTAAGCAAATGCTCTGTTTATGATAAACAGTATTAAATAACATTTACCGGCCTGAATGTCCGAGAAATTTTCATAGAAAATATTCGTTCTTTGACAGG